CGAGGGTTCGGAGGAACGGGAGCGGGGGGCGCCGGGGCTGCGCCGTCCCCTTCATCTGGCGCTGCCGAACGCGGGAGGGAGGAAACCCTGCTGAGGCGAGCGCAGAGCCTTCCCCAGCCCGGCTGTGGGCACCGAGCGGTTCTGACCGGCCTTCCCCACGCAGCGGTACTGCACCTCGGCGGCTGAGCCTGTCCCCACCCCGACCTGAGCGGCTTTACCGTGGGTTTGACAGCAGTGTGGTGTGAGGTCCTGCTCTCCTAATCAGGAATGCGTTACTGAGTAACGGAGAGAGTACCAATGTTTAATGAAATACATGTTTTTAGTGTTCTGGTCTTATTCCTCACCTCCTCTCCTAACGTGAAAAACTTCTTTTTAATTATTATTTTCTTTTCTTTCTGCCCCCTGCCCTTGGAGCTCTTCATCTGACCCGGTGATGCCTGTGAGTGTGGGCTGATGAGGGCTCAGCGTGGTGCCCTGCACTGCTCTTCACAGGAGTGGTGTGTAACGATGCGATATTCAGCATTTAAATGCATGCCTGGGTTTGCTGACGAATTTGTAAATGCACGCAGATTTAGCCGGCTCCTATGCTTGCCTGCTGGTTAGTTGTGTGGAGCTTGTATCTCAAAACACAGTTATCCTTAGTGCTCGGGGTGTTTCCTGCATGTACTGGGTGCACACACACAGCCGCTGCAGATTCGACCTCTGTGCACTTGTTGCTTAGCCTAAGACAATTAGGGTTTCTCCCCTGCCCTCAGTTTATTAGAAGCAGTTACTGCCTGATGAGCACAAGGCATCACTTGTGCTCCTATCAATGTACCCCTAAAATCTGTTTTGCTTTCTTGAGAGCTTATTTTTTAAGCATGCTTGTACATGAAAGAAATTACTTACATAGTAAATTCAGCTTTGCTTGTCTGTAGTCCTTTCCTGGATTTCTGTCTCTGTGGCAGGGATGGCTGAGCACCTTTAAACCCCAGCAGTTGGTGACCAAGCGTGGGCACTGGCTGCTCTTACATACGTGACAGTGAAGTGCACCTTGGCAAGGCCCCTGTGTTGCTGCAGGGGAGGTGACCCACTCCAGGAGGAGCAGGGGTGGCAGGAAGGAGGATGCTTCAGCAGGGTTTGTAGTGAGCAAAGCGGGTCGATGTGGACACCTTCATTCTGGCCATAGCATCCATGAGTAACCTTGGGGTTCAGCACAGTTCAGTGCCTTTGCTTTCAGTTTGAGCTCTTGAGAGATCTTTTGTTTTGTTATTTTGGGGGTGTAATTTTTTTGTTTGTTTAGGGGGGATGGAGTTGTTCCTCCTTCCTTTTCTTCTTTAAAAATATATAGTGTCTTTAATGTGGAAATTAGTAGAGATTTTGGCACTTGGTTCGTAGCTGTTAGATTACGTGGCTTACAAGGCACATACAAAAATCCCAAAATTAAACTCTGTATTAAAACTTCAACATCTCTCTCAATTGCTGTGGGGAGGAAAAAAAACAAATTACAAAGCAGCTTTCTGGTGCGTTCCAGCAGCATCCATGTTTAACTCTTCCCCTGCCAGGGATGTGTTTGAACAGGTTTGACAGCTGCTACTGGCAGATATTTTCAAGTCAGTGGAAATGAAATTGAAATAAGCCCTATGTTATTTCTGATAATTATGAATAGCTCTCTCCTGTGGGCTGTTGTAGTAGACACAATTCCGGATTGGCCACTTAATGTTTAATTATCCTTTCCCATTTTGGGTATCTCTCTCCTTCCTGCGTGCCCCCCCCAAGACCCCAGCTCCCCTTTGTGCTTTTTGTAAAGCTTCGTAGTTTCAGAATGTCTTTGCCTCCCTGTGTCTCTGGATCTCTTCACCCTGCTAAATTAAAACTACCAAAAATGCCTGCATCTGGAAATCATCAATCCTGCACATGTGCTTAGTGAAGGCCCCAGACCAGAACTCATGGATCCTTGGTTCAGTTATGACTTCTATTTCCAAAATTTTAGTTGGGTTCTCATTTTCAGTTTGACTCTTTCCTAAAAAGCCAAAATAACCAAAGCATCTGACAAGCTGTGGAAGAGCACTTGGGATAACTTGCTCTGGTGTTCTGGGTTAACTTCTTGTAAAGGGAGCGTGGTGTCAAGAAGGCATCACTCTCAGGTCCTGGAGCGTTCTAGGCAGTTTTTTATGGTTTCAGGTTTTTTTGTTTGTTTATTTAATCCTTTGTCATTCTTGCCTCTCATGTTAACTCCTGCTTACAATGCCAAGGAAGAGTTTCACACATTATGAGCTGAAAGTATGTGAAATCTTGCTTCTTTTTACTGGTAGATAACTGGAAATGGTTGACACTTCCATCTCAGAGGAGAGTTTTCATTTTGCAGTTCTACTCCCCAAAGAATTTGGTTCATTCTAGATCTTGGCTGTACTTGCAGCTGTAAGATTTTTACTCAATTAATTTGCTGCTTATACAGCAGTGTAATTAACTGCATGTATGTCATTTTGAAAAGCAAAGCAAAGTCGAGATATTACAGAGCTCTGTTGTAAGGCTGTTTTGGACATGGCTGAAGGAGAAGTCTTGTTTCTAAGGCTAAGCCTGCAACCAGGTGAGTGGTCAGATTTGACAGAAAATGGGTGTTAGTTACACATGGACAAGTCTGCTCCCCAAAAATGGCCAAATACATTTCTTGTGCTGTTTAGCTGAGTAATTCTTGAAGCTTTTCTCCATTCACTCCTGTGCCCAAATATTTGAGTGTGAAAACTCTGCTGTTGATCATTCATTACAAGAATAGGAACTTTGCTGTAAGATGAGAACCTCCTCAAAATAATGAGAAATGCACACTAAATTTGTTCTTTCTTATTCTCACGGTTTCAAAACTTAAAACCCCTCTTGATCAGGGAGAAAGCGTTTCTTTCAACACGATGTTTTAGATAACTTTACATGTTCTTGTTCAGAACTGAATTTTCTGACATGCTTTAAGTGCTTAAATTGTTATTGTTAGGTCGTCTGTAGCTTAATTGGCACTAATTGGTTTTGTGATTGGCAGGTATCTTAATAAAATATAATTAAACTTGTTAGAACACAAGTACAAGATAAGTATGCAGCTGGTTCTTTTCTCCATTATTAGGTTTATTCTAGAATAGCTTAGGCAAATCATGAAACCTTTATTGCTGTTAGCGACATTGTTTGAAAACCTGGAAGTGTTGAGAGGTTGATTTGTTTTGCTTTTTTTATTTAAAAGGGAAACTATTACATCTGAGACTTAGAGAAGAATGCATATTAACATAATAAGATGTTAAGATCTATTATAGTTAGAAGCAATCAAAAATCCTCTAACTTCTTGATTACAAAATTTGGAAGTTAATTTGAGTATGCTGTGACACAAGTTTAAAGTATTTCTTGGATCTCTTTGGTTTACTTCTGTGTGTGTGTTTAAAAATGAAGTATGGAGTTAAATATTGAAATATTATGTCTTGCAAGCAATTATCTGGGGTATTTTTTCTTCTCTAAGTGTATGTAATGTAGTATGTAATTATGTAAATATTTACATACATTGTATTTTTCTTTTGCAGTGAAAGCTGGAGGTATGAGGGTGTCTAAAAAGCACGAAAATGGACTTGTTGAGAAAAATGCTAAACCTCCAGGAAAAGACAAGACACGGTACTGCACTGCAGGGCTTGTTCCCCTGCCCCCTAGTTAGAGGGCTGCAAACAAAGACAGCTCCTAAACTTGGAAGAGTTTAATTCTTAAATTAACTCTGCAACTTAAAAATAAAAGGCAGTTTGAGGTAACAATCCATTTCAAAACAGAACCACAAAACCTAAGGATGGTGCCTTGCAGTGACAAAGGCCAAATCCCTTCTCTGTTGTCATGTTTTATGGAGCAGAAATTAAAGCAGGGCGTACCTGCCCATACCTAATAACACAACAGTTTTCAGTGAAGTAAGAATGAATTTTAGGCTGTCTTCATTCTGAAGGAAATTAAACCCACATCTCCACCCCCCCCCCAGTCTATTATCTCCTGTATAGGCTGAATCTCCTGTTTCAGTCTGAAATCTAATTTGGCTTTTTGTTGTTTTCTAGTTTCTAATGTTACTCAAGCTATTTTACCCCAAAAGTGAAGGCATCCTTCTACTTTACAGTAAGGTAGCAGTGGTTCCTTGAAGGTCATCAAAACAAATATTTTCTTACAGCTTTTTCAAAGAAAGAGTGGATGTTTTTCTATAATATGTGCACTTTTTAAAATGCCTCTTAATAAAAAGTTAATGTAAGGATAAGAAGGTAAAATTTTAATGACTTGTGGTGTCCCTGCAATTGCACTAAGTCCACATGCTAAGTGGAACACAGTGCCTAAAGAGCATTTAGACGCTCAGGTTTCTCCTTCTATTACAATTTTAAACTTTCTCAGTTGTCACCCAGCTCAGATGTTCCTTATCTCACCACATACCTTCTTTATTTTGCACAAAATGTTCCTTTAAGAGCCTGCAGTTCTTCTGGGGCATATCTGGGATGGAACAGTTACTGCAGGGTACCTAGAGCCCTTGTAGTTGTGATGCTCAGAATCCAGTCAGTGCGGCGCTGAGGTTGTGTTCAAGGAGCTGATGCAGTGACTTGGCCTTGGAACAAATCTGCTGTGTCCGATAGCCATGACCTTGCTGGGCCGTTCACATCCTCCTCTGCGCGATGTTTGGGTGTTTGTGAGGAGATGAAAGACCTGACTTTTAGCCTGTTGTCAGCTAAAAATGGTACAAGTCTTGCTGTGTCACTTGCCTTCAGTGAGCCAGATGGTGCTTTTTGAAGTTTCACAGAAAAAAAGATTCATGCCATGTAAAGTATGGCATAATGGAGTGTAATGCATCATGTTCATAGCTGGATGCCTGCCTGACAGCTTTCTGACTCCTTTTGACTGTACCTCATCGTTTAAGAGCAGTGATTTGAAGTTTGGTGTGTTCTTGGGTTTTTGGTGTTTTGTAATAACTTGAGTTGGTATTTTTTGTTTGTGTTTTCTGGAGTTAGAAGGTTTTTTATTTTCATTGCTTGCCAGTTGCCTGGGTAATTTTGCTGCTGTCTCTTCCATAGTTATCAAGTGGCATAAACAGATCATGAATAACTTATATTTGTCAGTGTGGCAAACTGCATTGTTTGCTAAATTGAAATTTCAATAGGAAATGCCTGAATTACAGAATCATTAACTTAAGCAGTATCTCCTTTTTCCAGAGTCACATTTAAGGTGTCTGGTTCCATGAGGAAGGGTAATAATGACTTCTAGCCACTCCCTTTTAAGGTACAGAGATGTCACTGCAAATAACAGTGCATCAAAAGAATGTGCGTGTTGCACAGTTCTTCCTGCTGCTGAGCTAAATCATTTCATATCCACAGATTGTTAATGGAATATTGGTAACATGGTTGTTTTTCACTGGAATATGAAGAAGTTAATGGGATAATCTTGCTTGGCAAATTGCTGCTGTCAAAGGAAACAATCCCCAAAAGCAGAGGGTGAATTTTTTTCATGGGTCTAAATTGGAATGAAGAAAATTACAAAGTCAGATTTTGTAGTTCTGGCTGTCAGTGCTCAGTTTCTATGAAGCTACTCCACAGTGTACAACAAAATCCGTTTTGAGATATTTAGCAAAATTTTATTGAGAGATTTTTGCACAAAACTGTGTCTAAATAAGAGCCTGCAACACAGATCTTGTATTGTTCTATTTTGAGGCAGCATACCATTTTTTAATATCATACAGACTTTAATGTGATTAGAGGATTTCTCTCCAAAACTTAAATTTGTATTACAGAATGTTTTGCATAAAGTCTGAAAAATGAAAGTGACAAATGTTTCTGAGAAATGGCAAAGCTCAATACTTTTCTTTTTCTTTACAGTGCTATTGCCAGTTTTTCCCGAACTCGGAACATGGGTGTCTTGGTAGCAGAAGCACTGAGCAAGGTAAGGACATCTGGAAGAACAGGATGCGTTTGTCAGGGCTTTTTCATAGAGCTAAACATTAAAAAAAAAGTGAGGTTTTTCTTCAACTGCTGTCATATCTGGCATTTGTAGGTTTGTCACCTACCACTAAATATTCCTGAGGTGATCTATTTCTTTAGCAGTTTGGTGGCTAAAATGCTAGATGGCTAAAAATTAACTGTCCTTCCCTCCTTACTCTGCTGTGCTTGACTCCATTCCTGATTAACACTAAGTAGCCCCAGAGTAGTTATGTGTACTTGTTACAGAAGAGTACAGCGAGATGTTAAGGTGCGTCCTTTTTTAAAGTGATGTTTTGATCTAATGTATTGAAATATGGGTAGGAATTACCAGTGGCACTGTAAGCTGCTTGTGTGGCAGAGCTGGGGTTACAACCCAGAACAAAGCCGTGGAAATAGCTTTAATTTCTGTGAGGGAGCGACTGAGAGGAGGCAGGCAGTGTCACCAAGCAAGGTGGTGAGTGAATGTCAAAGCACCGAGTGACCCTGAGACAACAGGCACAGCTTGTGCCAGTGCTGCCCACAGGCATCTGTCTAACCTATGGCCTGGCATTGGGCAGTTGAGCATCTTCTTGCCTTTTCCCTTGGAAATAACTACAAGATTATTTAAAATTGTGTCTCAGAGCTGTTGCTGGACCTTGCTGATCACCATTATGCTTGAAACTACTGCCCAGTCTTTCTTGCTAGGCTGTTGATGCCAACTCTTACACCTGTGCTTTTCAAGAGCTGTTTTAACAAACAGCTTTTTAATTTGCATGCAAATCTGAAGATCAGACTGTTATAAGTTATTGTTCATACACATACAGTCTAGATTCTGAAGCATGAAAGAGTTCCTGATCCACAGAGCTTGGTAAAACACCAGTAACATCATTTCACCATAAACCTTTCATCAGCAGATGTGATTCTAGCTGTAGTACGTACAGCTTGAGTTTTTGCTTAGACTTGTTTTTGAGGGAGGATACAACTCGTCCTGCTTCTCTGCTGTTTGTCCCCAGCTCCTCTGTCCTGACCTGCCATTTCCTTCTGTTGGTTTCCAGAATCTCATGCGTGAAGCTTCCTCAGTACTTTAGAAAGTGATAATTAGATGCTGTAATTATGATTATTTGAATCTGGGAAAATAAGAATTTGAAGCAACTTACTGTTAACTCTGGCATACTGATTATTTGCTCTGCTCTCCTCATCTTGACAGCTCGCTCTATAAACTACTGAAAAAGAGGGGAAAAAAACCAAACCCAATAGTTCACTAAAGGTAGTCAGGCTAATATCACATGAAAAACAGAAATGATAATTAAATGTACAGAGTCACTATGACTTTGCTGTATCGCTCACTTGAACTTTTTGTGAAGTTAGGTTTTACTTCCATTTTTAAACTACTTTCATATTTAGGAAGAAAATAGCAGAAAAGCTGTATTCTATCACAACACTTTCTTTTTGTTTTTTCTCCACTTTAATGTTACAGGTGAGCCACAAAATTCATGCAGCAGCGTTACAAGTGGCTCACCAAAAGCCACGGCCTGCTTTGGAGAAGATCATACTGCCTAAAAGAATGTACATTATTCAACAGCCACGGAAATGTTAAGATACTCACTAAAATACTCATGTTTTCTTAGAAGCGAGTTTCCATTCTAAATAGCACTTAGTACACTGTGGTGAAAGGATCAAAAGCTATGTGCCTTATCTCACTGGATGTCTGTTACTGACAATAAAATATAAGAAGAGTTACTAAATGTATTTGGGTTTTATTAAAATATCACGGCTTGTGTCTGACTTGGTTTTGCAAGTGGGCCGTAGTTATATAGCGCCAGGCAGTCTAACAGCTTCACTTACTGTGTGAATTTTGACTGAAGACAGCAGGTCACAGCTGAAAGGCACGTTCCCTGAGAGACTTGGTATGTCAATAGTGAATGTTCTCAAATGCTTCCTGAAGTCCAGAATGCCTGACGCTTTGACCTCAGGCTCTCTTTGGGTCTCTTGAGTTTTTTGGTTGGAGAGGGGAGGGGTGTTTGTTTTATTTTTTAATTTAGGCTGAGGTGTTCCATGCTGAGTGTCTGTCTTGGGCTTGCTGTGTAATATGAAACTTCAGAAAGCCCTGGGAAAGACTTCCATGCAGTGGAAAAAATGTATTTCTTCTTGCATTTCTTTCTGTAAGGAAATCCAGCTCCTCTGCAGAGGTTCCTCTGTGTGGACCCAGACAGCAGGAAGAACCAAGGGAAGGCAGTCAGTGTGGTCCTGCTGGGGTAGGTAGTGATTGCTGATGAATATGCCACTAAGATTGTGGTCAAGGAGTCCAAACAGATTTAATCAGTATGAAAGATGATGCTCAAAAATGTTTATATTGTTCATGAGGCTACTTTTCGTAATGTGTTTTCCACATGACTACAGTGGAAATCTATTGCAAACACATGAGAAACTCCCTCTTAAGCAGAGGAATCCCAGGTGGGTTACCCAGAATTAGTGTCACCACTTAACATGAATGTCTGCTTCATTTCATCCATCCATAAAATGTAAATAACTTTGTGTTGATTAAAGATTAAATTATGATCACAGGAGGGGGCGATTAATAGTATGTGCAAAAAGTAATTTGGTTATACCTTGAATAAGTAGAAAAAATGAAAGTAGTGCTGCCTCTATGAAGAAGACTGTTTTTTCTCCCATGTTCCTTAACCAACTGGTAGCTATTTGTAAAACACTATCACTGTTATCCTGGACAATGATGGCAATATACTTTATGGATATCTAAATTGAAGGTATGGGATTTGGCAAGCAGCTAGTTCTGTTTTTATAGCATATATAGCACACTTTGCAATTTCCAGGCTGACTGTATGTAAGTGAATATCGATACGGATGTCAGTGATGAAGCCTGATTTGAGCTGAAGCTGTCCATCATGTGTGAAGTGATTATTCAAGCTATCAAGGCCAAAAACGGCACCACGCGCTCTAACATGTCAATGGCTCATACATGCTCCCTACAGAAAGGATGTGAGTAAAATATTTATAATGCTGATCTTTCTCCTTTTTATTTTTGAAGAAAATAAATGGCTGGTGAAAACTTTCAGGGTCCGATTCTGGAGGCCTTTATCAACATTAATTTCTCTAAAGTAATCTGCTTCTGAAAACTCATCTATGTTCTGGCCAAGGACGTGATGCAGAATGAGAGCTTGTAGGAAAAGGGTTGTCTTTTCCCGAGTTACACCCAGCCTTCCCCTGGGTGCTGGATGAACTGGGCACCCACCCGAGTGTTGTAGCCAGTTTGTGCTAACACACCTGAGTGGAGAAACCATCTGAACGTCGCTCCTGGTGCCTGGGAGGGATGGGACGTGTCCTGGCACACTGGAAAAGGGCAGCTGGGGTCAGTCACACCCTGCTGCCAGGAGTTCCTCAAACACCATGGGAATGGAGGTGCCTGGGATCCTTATTTCTGTCCTGTGTTCCCACAGTGGCTGGAAATGTGACTGACTGTGGGAATTGGGCCTGTTATGGTGGTTGTGTGAGCACCTGTGCTGTCAGGTAATGTCAGCAGCACCTGCTGACAGGGGCACTGCCAGGTGCATTATTTTCTCTGATTTATTTGTTTATTAAGGTGTCCTGCTTAATAGTATTCTTAATAATGAGCCAAACAGGAGACTGAAACCATATTGTGAACTTTTAAATAACAGAACAACTTAGTTTTTCATCCCATTTGTGCCTTCTTTCATTGTGTGTTATTTTAGTTTGTGGTTGCACCACTGGTGATCCCGTGATGAATTGGTTGTGCCTTCTGTTTTAGGGAGTTTGCTTTATTCAAGTCTTAATTTAGTACTTTGCTTTCATTATTTAAATATGAGCTGCAGCTAAATTCAGAACACAAGGAACAAATGCAGTTGATCTGGTAGAAAAATCAAACCCTTGCAGGGAGCTTATTTTCAGGCTTTTTGAGGGTTGTTACAAATGCTGCAGGCACTCAAGAATGGTATGGTTTCCAGAAGTTATTTCTTCTGTTGATCTTTATTTCATGGCTTTGATGGACAAGTGTTGGTTAACATGCAGTGGTGTTTATCTGCAGACCTCAAGGCACCTGATGGAGATGGGAATGGCTGAAGCCAAGTGATGATGAAAGCAGCAAAAAGAGATCTCAGTAAATGCTCGTTGGTTTAGCACACTGGTAACCTCAATAACGTTGCACATTCTGTGTGACAGCCTAGGACACACACTTTGCTGGGCTCTGCAGCTAAGAGTCTCCAACTCTCTAGTTATTTGCTAACACTTCAGAGTTTACAGAGGTTTCTGACTCATCAAAAGTAGCTTTAAGAAATCCCAATCGTTCTTAGTTATGTGTATGCTGTTTTTGCCACAAGAGGCTGCTGTATGCCTACAGCTTACCTGTGTCCTGCCAGCTGAGCTTGCCTCAGAAAACACAGCTGTTTGCTTACAAGGAGGTGTATTTTAATCTGCTGAAAAGGTTCCAAAGAAAAAAATAATCAGCAAATGAAAGCATCGTTTGGCATTTTGCAGAGGTTGGGACTCCCTGGAAGTTGTAAAGATACGAATGGCATAACTTGATGGTGACACAAAGCAGCGTCTGATCCTTCATCCTGCTGCATTCTCTGTTCACAGCTGTACTCAATGGCAAACCTACAGCAAGGAATAGGGTAAAGTGCACACCAGACTGGGGTCAGGTAAATTTACGTTGCTAATTAAGCCTTGCTGATTTTGCAGGTGCTTTCATACTGTTTCTAAATGCGATCACTTCAGAACAAATTCCCTGCTTCACAAACCAGGAAACACTGAAAAACTGGGCGCAGCGTCTCATATGCAACACTTGGGTACAAAGGGATGACATTTCTGAGGCTGACTTCATTTACGCACAGTGCTTTTCTCTTGTATTGAGGGTTTACTGCAGGCAACTACTTCAGAAGTTATTTTCATATAAAGGAATGACTAAGACTTTTGTTACTTCCTAGGGATTGCCAGAGTATAAGGTGTCACAAGGCCTTATTTCCTACAATTAAAATATATTTTTTTCCCCTCAAAACTACTCCTGTGCTCGGTATTTTCGACATAGTAAAATGCTGAGTTTCTCAAGCTGCTGTCTGCAACACCTTACACAGGTTTCTGGTTTTATTTTTAAGTACACAGTGGAAGGAGTTGGGAATAGGTGGATGGAATGGAAGCACAGCATAGGGAAGGACAGGAATTGAAGTGGAGCTGGGAAACAGTGGACAGAAAAGAGCACAGGGTACACATTAATGGCAGCAACTGCAATAAATGTAATGGCATTTGGCATATTTTAATATCACTGATTATTATTTACTATTTATCCTATTAACACTTTGTTCAGACTCTGTGTGGACAGCAGCTGCAAGGCCCAGGCTGGTGCATGTGGTGACCATGGTGTATCTGGACACACAGGAGCTGCAGAGCCAGCCGCTTCCTCAGGTAAAACCAACGGCCATGCTTGTGTGCAGTGGAGGTGCCTAAAAACAGGGAGTGGAGCTGAGCCTCCTCCTGCCGCACTGCCTCTGTGGGAGGCACAAACAAAAGCAGACCGAGACATCGGGTACCTGCGTAGAGATGATGGCTGCAACTTGTAGAGAAAAAACGTAAATCAGAACTTACACCTTCGTAGTTGTAAATCCAACAGTCACAAAGCTGTTGAATATAAAGTGGTGTTCGTTCTACTAGTTATAGAGCAAGTTGTTTTCATGAAATCAGTGAATGAAGGGTTTTCTACCAAATGAGAATGAATCTGACAAGGTAAAAGCAGCTGCATTGAAAGGAAACTCCTAAAACTTACAAAATTGCCCTCTTTGAAGGAGCCCTCCAAAACCAAGAATTGAAGTAGTAGGTTAAGATGAGAAGCCCAAGCTAACAAACACTCAAGCTGAGCAGAAAAACGTCTGATTTCTTCCTTCCCCTGTCCCCAGCATTTCAGTGAACACTGCTGCCATTATCCTGCAGCGTGGTCTAAGGTTCCTGTTTTCCAAAAAAAGAAAAAGCTGAAGAATTTCAGTGGCTGGGAATGGACAAAGCATCTGAGCACATGAGTGGAAGGAGCAGAGGGCAGCACAGTTAAAGTAGAAAAACAGCTGTGGGCTGAATTCTTCCCTAAAGGAAGCTACTGATGAGAGCAAAAACCTTTATGTTGCTGGTATCAAAAACATTGCTCTACTGAGACAAATAGGGAAGCACTAAAATCAAGCCCTGGTTAAAAATATCTTGATTCTCAGCTTTCCTGTGGAACAGCAGGACCTAAATCCAAGTGACTCTAAATGCTGGTTCAAAACTCCTGTGTTCATACACAGAGGAAGAGAGCGAGCACTGTGCATGAGGAATAGATCCCAGAACGGTGCAGTCATAGCTCAGGTTTTTGTCTGATTTTGGACAAAGACAAAATCATAAAAGGCTGCCAGAACAAAGACATTTCCTCCAAGACAGAAAATTCCTTTCTTTCCAGACCTACGCCTCATCACGTAGGCAAAACGCGGGGGAGAGAACGAGATGAGGAAGATTCTCCACCAGAAGAAAGCCAAGCTGCTGGCCGAGTTGCACACCACAGCCTACCCTTGTTCTGGGACGAGTCTTCAGCTGCTGAAGTCGCAG